ACGACCACGTGGCGGCGGTGGACTGCGATATCGGCGAGGCGATCCACCACGGTACCTGGAATTTTCGCTACATTTACGCTACAACAGAAAATTTTTCACAGTTGAAATAGCTATGTTGGCTACGAATCATAAACTGGTTCCAAGAAGAACAGTTGTCCCCGCAAACAATTACCGTAGCGGCGAAAGCGCTCGTCTTCCACTTCCATTGATCACGGAGCGTGGTGGATGCGTAAGCTCGCAAGTCACTTCTTGGCCGTCTATTTGCCCGCCATCCATATGTTTCAATGCCTTCTCGGCATCTTCTGGTTGCTCGAATTCCACATAGCCGTATCCTAAAAATTAGCAGTATCAATCCACATCGTTATTATTAATCCTCTCCCTCTCTCCCCTTGCTAATCCCCTTCGATCCCTATCCCCTAAGGGGACTGGTACTTGAAAACGGTATGAATGCCTACAACGTATCAACAGTAATCGATTTGCCTGCAAGGCCATCGATGGATTCCTCTTTGCTGCAGTTACCTATCGACTCCCAATCACGCTAGCGCACCAACTGTGATAATATTTACTAGCCCGATAACAATAAAATCTTGAAATGCTGCCAAATCCCAGGTCCCACAACCGAAGTATTAGCAGAGCATATCACTGAAGCGAGTGATTCACGTCGTTTATCTTTTTTTCAGCGGTCTGCTTCCTTCTTACAACCATTATGATTGCATCAAGCTTTTCCCGCAGTTCATGAAACAGCGATAATTCACTGCGAGGGAGCCCTAAGAAATAAGCCACCAGCAGACAATAAAGCGAATGCCAGGGCCGCCAAAAGGCTGACCGCCGAACGATGCTTCAACAACCAGAAAGGCTGCCGTTTGCATATAAAAAGAGCCTGGCCCAAGTACTTCATAAATTAAAAATTTGAAAATTGTTACAATTTATGACAACGAACCTCTGCCGAGATGAGTATGCTGACGATCCATAGGCAATTCACAAGTTTTCAATGTTCCATAAACACTAAAAATTTCCGCCAAATGCTCCTTCGTGACGTTGCGACTCAGATTACGCACACACAGACGACGAGGTGGTGGGGTCACCTTGCGAACCGGGCTAACCTGTAAAACACATCAAATATGATACAACTCTCTCCCTCCCCTAGAAAACCTGCATAAGTCAAAAGCTAGCGGTAATTGGTAATCAGTCTCAGGCTTAAGCTAATTACTTGAGCCTCGACAAGAAAAAAAAAACAGCATTTTTTTTGCCACAATCTGCTGGGGGACATTGTAATGTCAAGATGATACATAAGATTCGTCTGTCTGGTATCCTGCGAGTCAAATGCTCCTCAGATTACTTCTCAACAGAACCTCGGGAGGAAAAATCATCAAGAACATTGGCCTTCGTTAATGTTGCTGGACAGATTATGCTATTTTTGGGCGCGAAAGACAATCGTCAGTTCTCGATTCCGAACACTTCTCACCCCCTCTCCCTTCCCTCCTCTCACCATTTTAAGCACATGCCATCAGCTTGCTTGTAAGTCATCGGTAGCCGTGCCAGGGGGTGACTGCTGGCTTCCTTAGAATACCCCAAGCCTTTCGCCAATGAATACGAGGGGCGTTTTGCCTTCTGACTTGTCCCTGAACTTAAATTCAAATCGTTTTATATATCGTAACATTACCTTCCCCAATGACTGTACAGGAACTCCCCAAGCTGGAGCGGACCTGAAAGCAGAGCAAGAACGAAAAGATTACCTTGCGTTCCCGTGAACGTGAACGATTGCGTTTCTCACGACTTCCACTACGATCGGCACGTCGTTTGGGTGACGGTGAAGGGCGGTGTTTTGGTGACGGTGAGAGACGACGCCGATGGCGTTCCGGTGATGGCGATCGACGGCTCGATGCGATTGTTGCTTTTTCACTGCGGTCCGGACGTGCGGCGCCACGCGGTGAACGTGAACGACGACCTGGACTTCGCCCGCGCTCTAAAAAACCCGGAAGTGTCAAAATACGCAATTTTTGAGGCCAAAAAGTGTAATCGTCGTTATAGGAGATGGGCAAAGCCGAAGAACTCAAATGCGAATGGTACTATGAGAAAAAGGGTCCGGCGCCTCGCGTATTTTCCTCCCTCTTCTGTCCACTGCTGATTTTGTGCGCGTTCGAACATAATTTTCCCGTTTCTCCTCACAACTACTGGATAATTTTTAGACCGCGGAAAAGACAGGGTTTATAACTTTGGGTAGATATATCAAGCACAAAACCTCGGC